GTTCTTAGTCATCAATAGTAATTTCACTCACCCGATTGACTTCAAGTTGTTTGTTGTTCAAATCTTCACCGGCCTTTCTGACCTGTCTTCCAACTCGGCAATTCTCAATTGACCGTCTCTGACCGATTGTTGTGTCTTACCAATTTGAGTGTTGAATGAAGATTCTTTCTGTTCGAATTCTGCAAGCTATCTCTCAGCTTCTTCGACCTTTCTGTCATACTGTTTAGCTTGTTTCTAAACAGCCTCGTTTTGTGCTTCTTTCTTTTCTGTTTCGATTCTCTGAGTTTGTCTGCGTATTTCTTCTTCTATGCTTTACCCTGTTGAGCAGTGGTTCTTTCAAGATCAAGTTGTTCATTCAATTCAGTTAATTTTTTCTCATAAGAGTTTTTCGACTGTTTTTAAATGTTGCCTCAATTCAGTCTTCATTTTGGACATATCGTCTTCAAGTTTGTCACATTCGTCTTGTTTCTCGTCAAGTTCTGTCTTTGTTCTCATCAATTTTTCAGTAGCGGCTTTATAATTTCTCACAGTCTTGGCCTTCTCTTGTTCAGCCATCTGGACTTTCTTCTCAAGGGTTTCAGCTCTGACTGTGATTTCAGCGATATCCTTTTCATACTTTCCTTTAATCAATTAAGTCTTAAATTGGTCTTTCTTTTCTTGATCAAATTCAGTTCTACGCTCTTCAGTTCGTCTTGGTATTCATCGCTTCATTGCCATCGTTGTCATCATTTGCAGTGTCAAGTTGCTTGTGCCTTGTCGGCTTTAGCATTCAAGTCGTTGATCATCTTGTCCATTTCCTCCAAAAACTTTTCATTCTTCTCCTCATCTGTGAGTTGATCGACTTGGACTTTCAAGTCATTCGCCTTTTTAGTCATTTTTTCTTTAGTGTTATTTGCTTTATTTAAGTTGAACTGGACTTTTTGTTATTATTTCTCTCAACACCTTTCGAGCAACATCTGCACTGTCAGCCTTCTGTCTTTCTTCATCAAGTTGGGCTTGAATTTCAGCAATTCTTGCATTCAACATGTTCTTCTCTTCTTCTTGAGCAACTGAAGCTGGTGCACTGACTTGGACTTTTAATGACGAGACTTGTGCATTGAGTGTTTGACTTGGTCTTCCATCTTTTTTCTTCTATCAGATTGGTCCGCGGCAGTCTTCTCGGCCTCCGCTTTGTCGTCCAATGCCTTCTTCTTTTGTGCTTCAAGTGTTTTAATCTGTGATTCATTATTCTCAATCTTAGAAACGTCTTCGACAGACCACTTTTCATATTCTTTTTAGCAGCATCAAGTTGAGTGTTCTGATCTTTCAACGCAGCAACCTCATTCTCCAAATAAGCAATTTGGTTGTCTCTCTTGATGACCTCTGTTTGATCAATATTTGAAGTCCCAACTGGTCTATCTTCAAGGTCTTGCACTTGTTGTTCCAAATCGGCTATTTTATTCTTGTCTTTTCTGTCTCTTAATTCAGTCAACTCAGTGTTGTTTGCTTCTAAGTCTCTTTGTAACTTTTTGATCGAACCATTCAAGTTGTTGGTCTCGTCTTCATGTCCTGAAACCAAGTTAATGAGTTGGTCATATTCGTATTGAAGCTTCTTTTTTTTCAGAAAAAAATAGGTCTTTGTCATTAGTCAAGTTCTTCATGTTCTCTTTAATTTCGTCGTTTTCGCTTTCAATTTCTTTGCCTCCTTTTCTTTTGCAAATTTGTCTTTCTTGACTGTTTCAAACTCTTCATTGGCTTCAGCAACTTCTTGTTCTTGTGAGTAAATTCGTCGACTTTGGCACTCAATTCCTCAATCTTCTTATTGCTCTCATTAACAGTTCCATTGAGTTTCTTCTTATCAGCAGCATCAGTGTCGGCATTCTTCTTAAGACAGTCAAAGTTCTGTTGGAGTTGGTCAAATTCGGCTTTAGTTCTTCCCAAGTCGTTCTTAGTAATTCTCAACTTCTCATTTGCGGCTTCAACTTCTTCGTTAAAAGCAGCTTTTTCTCTTTCAGCGTCTTCTAATTTAGCATCGACAACAGATTTGGCCTTAGTCAAATTGTCATTGTCAGCCTTCAATTGAGACAATTGATTCTCTCGAGCATCTTTCTTTCTGTTCATATCCTCAGCATCAGCCTCAAGCTTGTCTTTCTTATTAATAGTTTAGGCAAGTTATTCATTCAAGTTATTAATTTCAACGTCATTTTGGTTCATATTAGATTTAGCAACAGCCAAGTACTTTTCAGTCTTCTCCATGTCATCCTTCAACGCTTGGATTTGAGCTTCGTAGTCGGCCTTCTGTGCTTTCAACATATCAGAGTCATTAAGTCCATCTTCAATTCTCTTTGTCAACTTAGCAATTTTTCTCTGAGCATCTTTATTGGAAGAATCAAATTTTCTGTTCTTATCTTCTAATTCGTCTTTCTCTGAGTTCAAAGCAGAAATCTTCTTGTCACTTGCATTCTTGGCCGAGGTCAAAGCAGCAGTCTTGGTCTTCCCTGCTTTCAATTTTTGGTTATACCCATTTCTCTCGTCTGAAACCTTCTTGTTTTGAGCAACTTGTTGGTCGAGTTTCTTCTCGGTATCATCAAGAGCCAATTGAGTCTTTTTCAAATCATTTTTAGTATTGGCAATATCGTCTTTAGTATCATTCAAAACAGCTCCAGTGTCTTCATTCTGTGCGTTGACATCAGAAATGGTGTTTTGCAACTTCTTGACTTGTTTTTCCAAATCAGCAATGTCGTCTTCCTTCACGTGTAATTGTGTCTCGAAATCCTTTGAATTGTCTTCTTCGGCTTCAAGCTTCTTCTTCAAGTCGGAAATTTCGCCTTCATTATCTTCAATGTCTTTGTTCAACTCAGTGATAACACTATCCTTCTTAGCAATAGTCGCTTTGTGCTCAGTAATATCGTTTTGTAGTCTTTGATTATCAGCTTCAAGTTTCTTGTACTTAGTGGTTAACTTGTTCAAGTCTTTCCTCTCTTGATATCACCTTGGAGTTCTTCAATGTGTTCTTGGTCTTCTTGTGACTTCATATCCGCCTCATCAAGTGCTATCTTCTTTGACTCGATGTCTTCTTTAAGTTTTCAAACTAAAGTTTCCAAGTCGACGTTCTTGATTTTCATTTCAGAAAGTGCCTTCTCAGCGACTTCTCTCTTCTCATTTTGCAATTTCTTCAGCAAGTTTCTTCTTGAGGGCTTCAATTTCTTTGTCCTTGGTTGCAGTTCCTCATCGACTCTTCTCCTCTCTTCAATCTCAGCAAGAACACCAACCTTGAAGAAAATCTTGATCTTACCAAATTTAAATTCTTCAGTACCACTCTTGGCTTGTTTATTGTACTTTTCACAAATTTGTTTCATGAGTTTTTTGACAACTGGCATGGCGTCTGAAGTCACTCCACTTGCTGTCATCCCAGACACTGAGACTGGCAAAAAGTGTCCACTTGTAGATTATTCAGTGATTCCATCAGTTGCTATCATCGACCCAATGTTTTGTGTCTCATGATCAAAGAAAGCTCTAGCAGACTGTGGTATCAATGTTTTAGTCCGTTTTGTTGTAGCTTGTGTCTCAGTTATAGTCAATAAATACACAAACGGTCTTGCTAAAAAAGTAGTCAAATTAGTCTTCGACGACTATTTCGAGTCATTCAACGGGGTTTTGTTGCAAGAAAGAAGATTCACACTGCAGCTACCATTGGTATGGCCTTTGTTTTCGCGTTCCTTGGGATTGTTCATTCAGTGGTTCACAAAATAGGAGCTGCTTTCCATCTTCCATATGGTCGATGTGTTGCAGTGTTGTCACCACATGTTATTTGTCCCAAAAAAAGTTGGCAATGTGTCCAAAGTACAACTTGTATGTTGCAGACCAGAGATACAATGACCTTGCTCATTTGGTCGGGTTGAAAACTGAGACGACGGCTGAGGAAGTTGAAGTTCTTGCAAAGGCATTACTTCAACACAAATCGTTTTTTGAAAAATAAAATATTTGAGATAATTGAAATCCAAAAAATACACTTTCATTACTCTTTAATTATTATACATTATGATAAATAAACTATTCGTTATAGTTTTTTTTAAATATAATTTCAATTCTTTGTGTTTGAAATGTATTGATTATTTACTTGAATCTCTTCCAAGTAATTATTACATTAAAAAATGACCAAGCAGTTATTGTTTATAATAATTATATAACAACATATAATTTATTATAGTTTAATTTTTTGGAAATAGTATCAATAAAGTTAATTAAAGGTATCACTTTATTATATTTTAATTATATTGAACATAATAAAAAGAAATTATTATAAATAATTTTATTTATTTAAAATTGGGTCTTTTAAAACCAAATAAACATAAATAGTTTATTGCTAATTTACAAAGTCTAATATAAAGTATATTATTATATAAATTAATTTATAATATGAGATAGATTTAAAAACCCTAAAACACTTTATTTGGTTTGTTTCAATTGGATTGTTCCACATTTTTCAAAACAAGAAAAATATTGTAAAAAAACACGAAAACAAATTAGACAATTTATAAATAATTTAAAAATGTTGTTTTTCTTTTTCTAATCGTCAATTTGCCGTATTAACAATTAAAGCGATTACATATAAT